GGCCTTCAACTCCCACGAATTCCCCAGCCCAGCCCTGCTGGCTGGGGAATTCTGGGAGTTGAAGTCCACACATCTTAAAGCTGCCAAGGCTGAGAAACTCTGCTTTAGAAAGACAGTATAGACTTTCTATCATAATATAACTAAAATAGGAGCATAAGAGCCTGCAATGTATTCACAATCCGACTAAGCCACAGGTCGAACAGTAATGCGCTACTGTAGATGACTCAGTGGGCAAGGTAACATTACTAACCTTATAAGGACACTTAGTGCACCCAACGGGGTGACCAAAGTCGCAGGGGCAAAGGCATATGCGGCAAAGTTAGCAGCTTCTCCTATTCCCACTGCCAAAAACAACAGCAAACTAGAGTTACTCGAGACATGTGAATTTTCCAAAAATACGAGTATCTTTTTGGAATTCTATCAATGATTTCTGCCTGCCCGTGCAAGACACAAAAAACTTTTGGAAACCATCAGCGCTAATATATATATAGATACACTCTGAAGCAACTTGTTTCTAAAGAATCCTAATTAAAAGTCAGAGGAAGAGGATGGCATTTCATGAGTACCAACCACAACATCGACAATATTCTACAACATTTCAGCACTCCCTTGAGAAAGCATTTAAACCTTTTTATCTGCCTTATGTTCGACTACTGAAGCCGAGTCACACACTGTACAAAAAGATTCAAATCGGAAACAGATTGCCCTACGCAACCTCCCAGGAACAGTGCCATTTGTCCAAGTTGGGAGATTTCAGCTTCAGAGAGGGAGGGAAAAAAATTAACATGATGTTTTCACCCTTCGACCTCCCCACCACCTACTGAAGCTGGCTTGCTATCAAGAACGCCACAAACTGTAGAAGCTGGGTAGGAGATGTTTTGGAGGGTTGGCATATACCTATTCCTAATTCTCTATCTCTGATTTGTTTCTGACCTAAATTATTTCTCCCTCTCCCAAACGACGAGAAAATTTAAACAAAACAAAAGAATAGGATTGGGGGAAAAGGGAGTGAAAGCTATTCAGCTAGGCACACGACAGTCTACCTGGCTTTTAAGGGCTGTAGGATCTGAGGCCTCCAAATAATCCAATGGAATGGTTTAGCTATGTAATTAAAATAGGTAATCTCCAAATAAACTGGAAATCTTGAGTACCAGGCAAGAGACGTAACCCATTTTCTTGTAGACAGTAAGATGACATCCCCAAAGATTGTGACTGCTGCTAGAAAATCACCAATATTTTGGGTGGCAAACATGACGTGTGGATATTCGGCTCAAGGAGCAGCCATCTTTCAACAACTATCTGTGAAAGCCGACTCTTCGTTCCTAAGCCAGTGTGTTATTTAAGGAACCCTCTCCATCACACAAAGCCATCGCATCCGGAGGGCAGAAGAGACAAGCCCCTTGACCGCAGCTCTTCCCTTGCATCTTTGTCTTGGTTGCAGCTTGTTAGCTGCAGGTTGAACTTCCAGAATGAGGTTTTTTTAACATTGGAGAAGGGTTTTTCATAGACTTAAGCATTGGTCTGCCGTAGTCTAAATCTGGAGTTTAACTGAGCATAAAGACACCCCCATTACCACCCTAACCACAGCAAGGATTCCTGGAAAGTAATGGAAATGGACCTCCCTTCCATTCATATGGCAGTAACATGGGGCCAGAGAATGACTAACCAGTAACAAATACTCCAGTTTCTTTTAGCAAGAAGTGTGCAAAAATAACTACATCCCAATAAAATCAAAGGTTTTGAAGCTTTAATACTTACTTGAAAGCAAACCTGCCCACCACAGCCATTCTTTGAGGTAAGAGTAGCCCCCCTCTCCTGGGGAAGAAAAACGAGCACAAAAACATTTTCAGAGGGAAAAACCTGCAGCTCGGCTTCTATTCAAATGCCATAATCACCCTTTTTCTAATATTTGTTCATAAAAGGAGAGCTTTTCGGTGCCATCCTTATTCCATTATACCTGCAGGCCGATTATGTTGGCAGCGTCCCCCTTACTTGACTTGACCGCTGTCTAATGCTAATACTAGTTTTGTTCCTCTTTGGGATTTTTAAATGTTACCAGATAGCAAAACAAAACCAGCAGTAAAAGTATGCAAAGACATATTATAAGCACCTGCCATTTTAATGCATTAGGAAAGACACTATAAATTATTACTGGAGCTAAGGCCACAACTCTATAGCTGTTTTGCTGGGAATAAATCCCCACTGAAATGAAAAATATGGGATTACACTCCAATTTATTTCCATCTTTATTTCTTACATGAAAGCCTGAGATTATAGAACACCCCACAGTTTTTAAGCCAAGACATCAGGACCATGGATTTAACCCTCTCCCCACCACACAGGAGGTTGTCTGATTTATTTTCCTGCTACTAGTAAAATTAATATCTCTGTCCCTGACTTTGTAATAAACTCTCTTAAATAATCTAAGAGTACTTTATCTAGTACAAATGATCTAATCCAGTCACGTCCTTGTATTTCCCCCAATATTTTCTGTATTGGAAAGATCCGATAAAGGATTAGCGGAAATGGTTTTATAACTTTTAACCGTTGTCATTTGACAGACAATACATGCATTTTAATCAGGGGCCATGAAATAAACAATATTGAGACTTCATTTCTGTTTACATTTACTATTAAAATCAAAACAGGTAAATGACACAAAGAGTTACTCCTTGGCCATTTCTTTCAGAACATAGTTTTTTCAACCTTTTTCCTGAAATTAACTTGCATCCTATTTACGTTTATCTATAATGAATATATGTACTCAACAATAAGACCGGTAGTAGTCTGTTAGACCTGGATCTTCTGTCTGGATTAATTAAGAGTCACCTGCAAAAGCTAGAGGGGGAAAAAAAGATCTTTCCATCCAGTTAATAATTTTCTCAAAAGCACTTGGTACGTCCTAATCAATTGACATAGCTCTCTATTTTTAACTCTTATGAAGCTACTGAATCCACTTATAATTGCCAGAGAACTGCCGGAAAGTTACTGTCCTTTCTATACAAATGAATATATTAGTATTTGACTGCTCTTCAATCTTTTTAAAATGAAAACTGCTAAATGTGTATTGTGAGGTTCTGATAAAGAGTTTTCTACCAACTGGGAGTTAGGAGGAGAACACGCAGAGCTATCCTTGATTAAGACAGAACCTATTGTAATGTTTTTGTAGAAATTGGCTCGCCAGAAAACACTTTTGATAGGATTATTTATGCTTTTCTTATGCCATCAAAGTAAATTGAAACATCCTTGCCTAACTGGGGCTCACATCCCTTCAGAATTGTGTAGGAAGGCATTGCAGCCATTCAAGGTTCTTCCTCCAATCGAAGATGAGTGGAGGAGATTCAGAAGATGCATCTGGATCTACAGACAGTCCTCTAGGGAATTGGCAAGGGTGCTTGACTCAGCAGCAGTAACAACTATCATACATTTTACTAGAGGAGGCAAGATAACCTGGAATAAATGTTTGTCTCAAAAGATTCCCCTTTTCTGGTACTCAAAACATACTGGACTGCAAATCAGGCTGATGGATGTTGGAATTCTATTAAAAAATATATACGCATGTATGTACTCCATAAATCTGCCCAGCTTTGGACAATCCACACGTCATAAATTGTTGCACGAACTCATACTAAGCCAAAATGAAACAAACTATACTATGGCTTAGCACGTTGTGTGAATCCAACCTGCCTAGAAGCTGGGTACAAGCCACATTGACATCACATATATCATGACGCTGTCATGCAAATGATATGAATTATAGTTTGTGGCCTCCGTATGATGATAAGATGTATATTGCATCACTTATACACGCCCTGTGGACACCTATGGCAGCCAGTTCTGTTTAGGTAATAATTATTTATTTAATTATTATTAATTTATAATTAATACAAGTTTATAATTTATTAAACTCGTATGCCACCCAACTCTCAACAACTCTGGGCAGCTAACAATGATCAAACAAAGAAATCACAATAAAAGCAATAAAACATGAAAGATAAAAAGATGGCAAGTGGGATGAAGTGAGGGGTCTCCCTGTCCCTTGCCAAAGGCTGGGGTGAAGAACCAGGTCTTCATGGCTCTTCTAATACAGCAGAGTGGGGGCTTTATGAGTATTCTCAATATTTTTTTCTTTAATTTTTGTCCTTGATATGTACATGAATGTATGTGAGTATAGTAATTTTTAAAGGGTTTTTGTCTCAGTGTTTTATTTCAAGAAAAGATGTTAAAAATCACCTTTGTCAATCAAACTACAGCTTAGTTCAAAGGGGGTCCAGTCACAACATCATACAGAAAAATGGAATAAAAAAATGAATTGAAGTCTTGCTAAGCTCTTTGACCTAAGGATAGTAGGAATATTGGCCTGGTTGACATATAACATAATGTGGTTTGCTTGTGTCTTAATATGATATGTGAATGGAGTCACATTGGCTCAAAACCAATGTACAACCATCAGATACAACACAGGCCACTGTAGTTTGTTCAACATTTGATTGATTGATTGATTGATTGATTGATTGATTGATTGATTGATTGAT